ACAAAGACCAATTTAGTTAGTGCACCTAGTTAACTCTATCTAATATACTCGATAAATGTGTATCAGTATGAGCTATAAACGCTTCACCTGCATCACAAACAATGTGTCCATACAGTTCAAACAAATACTGAGCATTATGACTCTAAAGGAGGAGTAATTACTGTAGGACTGTGGCATTATTATGACTGCACTGGGTGTAGCTTACCCAAACTACTGGAAACTGAACGCAACCATTAGCAGTGAAACGTAGCAAGATACCAGAAGCAAACTCAGATTTCCCGAGGATTACTGAATGCATTAAACACACCAGTGATACTGTCATGGTCTGCTAGGGAAACAACAACACACAAACACAACAACACACAAACACAACAACACACAAACACAACAACACACAACAGTACCGACCGAGGAGCTCAACCACGAAGTAAACGAGGTTTTTGAATGTAAAGTTAAAATATTAGCAGATATTAAATATGTTCGACGGAAGAAAAGGTTCTGTATTGTTGTTTTCCCCCTCAGTACTTCAATAACAGCACTTCGACTTGTTGTTTGTTTTCTAACATACATGTTGTCACTGTCTTTGTTTACACTTAACGACGCTAACATTTAGCAGCCGCGGGACAGTCTGTGCGGCAATACACCGACAACTTAGCTGTGTTTGTGAATTAATGAAGACCCAATGAACCGGGCACACAGGGAGACGACTGTGTACGTTTACTGAGTGCAAACTACTCCACATGAACAATCACCGAGCCTCATCGGTAGCTGGTTAGCTGCCCGTGCTAGCAGCAGAGTTGTGTTTGCTGAGGCGGAGAAAGAAAACTGTCCGTGAACCGTGACTGTAACCGGGCAACACGACGGTAAAACTCACCGTACAGAGCGTAAACCCAACGCGTTCAGGTGCTTCTGGCTATACGCGGCGGGAATAAAACTAAAAACAAATGAGGAAATGAGCTCAATGAGAGGAGATGCCGCATTATACTTCACATTCTTTACTTCCTGTTTTTGACAGCGAGGTGTCACAAGTTCAACTGTTCGGGTACAATCGATTTCAAGCCAAGTAAAAGGTTCCTAGTCCACACAGGGAGCGGGAGGTGTTATGGACTGTAGAGTAAGTCCTGTGTTATTAAATGTACCTGATGTAGGTTCATGCAGTAATATTTGGCACACCTTGCACTTGGGTGTCAGTCAGGTTTTAATCCTTATTTGACTCTGGGGATTATGGTGACACTGTTAATTTCAGTTTAGAAATACATTTTAACAAATTTACCCCATACTTTATCTTAACTTAGTTTTTATCACATCCTCCGGCAAATCTTTATTGCAGCCTGGGGATAATTATTGGACACTTTGGTTGGATTTGTTGATGAACTTCTGCAAGACTTGGAACCATCCAGTGACAATAGGAAGTCTTTTGTATACTATTTGTATCTATTTGTTACTTTAATAACCATATTCAGTCTTTTGTTTAAAGTATACCACACATTTACTTACTTATATATTTCTTTTATAAACAAATATAAACTTTAAAACCTAAAAAACAACCAAACTAAATAATATCTTACACTAAATCCATATTGCTCAGTTGTAAATATTTTAGTAGAAGACCTTTGAAAAATACACTACACATAATCATGAGCTACATTGTCACCAACATTAGTCTGCAGCCATTATGTCTTTAAACATCTTTTTCACTTGTGCATCCAGTGAAGTGATACATTTATGTTCGTATTAAAATAAGATATACATCATAATCATACATTTGTTCTACAGCACTAAAATGAAATGTTTAATTTGCTGTGTCATATTTAGAACTGCAACACTAATAAATAATCCCATGATGCTTTCACTCCCTGCTCTTATTCATGGGATTTATGCTCTTGAGGTTTCAGCTTGTATTTGTACAGTACAGTACGTTCATGTATTATTGTGTCACATAAATTATTTCTTTTCCTGGAATATAATGAGGAATGTTTTTATAGCATTTGTTTACCCATCTTACACATTTTAAGAAAAGATAACCAAGAGGTGATCTATGTTTTCACATGTTTATTTAATGTCATTGATTGTCAGAGGTGGGGTGTGTACAGAAAAGAAAGCTTGGACCAACACAGTGGAAAGATAAATTAAAGGTCTATTGTCTTTAAATGGACAAAAGGTCATTTAAAAACAACGAGCGCAAACAGAATTTAGTAGAAAACAAAACACACAAACAAAAGAAAACAAAAGTAATAAGTGAGATTGGAAGCTGGGATCAGAAGAGTCCAGAGGTGGGGCGGGCTGACTGAAGTCCTTAAGACTTGAGCTCCTTTTGTCTGTGACACTCAGGACAGGACCATAGTCTGGAATTCTAGGGAAAGAAAAGCTGTTGAAATTAACTGCAAACACACACCTTTACTTTTCATTCAACATCACAGACAATCACACACAACTTTCAACTTTACGCAGAACGGATAAATGTATGATTGAAAAGAAACACAGACTAAAAATCATCTTTCTGGATTTTCCAAATCCTTTGTCCTGTTATGTAAGACGGCTGAGCTCAGATGTCCCTGGTAACCGGACGATTGGCAAAACTGGGACAAGCATCTAGACGTCATGAAATCTTATAACATGGTTAAACAAAGATCCTCAAGATACCATTTAAGTACTCCCTGCACCAAATAAACATTGAAGAAAGAACCTGTAAGTAAAGGAGCCTGAGGCAATGGTGTCATTCAAAATGCAATTCAACTGCATGATTCAAATTAATTTAAATAAAAATGACAAACTTGGTATATAAAATTATTTTAACTTAATGGTTGAGTTAAACCTCAGTGGCCAGAACCAAGTACAACAGTGTCTGAAGAGAAAACCTAAATTAGGATAGAATTAAAACATTTTAAATTGAGTAAACTTGCTTGCTTTTCCCCAGATTTGAATCAAACTAGGTTTAGTTTGACTTTTTTTTCTGCAGGCAGAGCTGCTCTAAAATGAAGATAAAATGATGACGAGCAGGTCCAAAACACCACAGTTTTCTGGAAGCACAAATACAAACCTGTGCGAACCTTTATAGCAAATATATACACAACTAACTACTGTCAACTTGATCAGTCAGGACTCTAATACTGTATAAGTTAAGCAGGTTTATTAACTTCTAATAACTACAATGCACTTCAAGTTAAAAGTGCCCTAAGTTGTATAAAGTTAGTTGGCTCTTCTCTGTGGACACAGTGTGCTTGTTTGACTCCACCCACTGAGATTGGGGCCAACCAATGAGATCATTTCTGCCTCCATCATGAGTTTGTACAAATACTGTTTGAGATATCAGATACCAACCCTCTACTCCAATTTTGCCATCACTGTCATCATCAGCTGCTGAGATGAAGCTCTTGGTTTCTGCTTCAGTCAGTGTCCGCGCCCCGGGGACGAACCGTTGCAGGAAGTACCTACACAAACACACACACACAAAAACACACACACACACACACACACACAAACAAAACACATAACTACACCAATTCCTAAATTGCACGGCTCAAGTCGACCCTCAGCTCCTGTCACACAACAAAATAAAGGTGAATTATATAACACAAATGTAATAATAACACTTTGCCCATAGTGGATTATTAGGAGACGGCTTAATGGTGCCATCCCAATAATACCACTGTGTGATTTAATGCACTAAATCTCTCTTTCTGTCAGACACGCACACAAATACATAAGTTAACACTGTAACTCACTACAATAAAATACCAAAATTAAAGCAGCTTTTTTTGCAAAAAGAAAGATATCTGATTGTTTCCAGTACATAAGGCATGAACCAAGGTACATGAGGATTACAGCATCAGTTAGGATGATGGTCAATATGCAGTAAGTACTTGTCAGTATCTCGGGGAAGTGTTAAGATTATGTTATAACTATGATCACACACTTGAGCTCAGACTCCTCAATGTAGCCGCTGTTGTCGTCATCAAGGATCTGGAAGACATCTTTGACTTCCTGGGGTGTCTTTGAGGACAGGCCACACAGCTGGAAGAACTTTTTGTAGCAGAATGAGTCTGGAGCTGGAAACACACAACAAACACATCACAGTAACACGCAGAGCTTGACCGACGAGGTTCCTCAGGTTGGGAGCTGATGTGGAGATTAAAACTGCATGTGGCTGCTGTCCAGGTGGGAGATTTTCCAGCCCTGTTTTTATCTTTTAAGTCCAGCAGACACATGCCTCCACTAAAACACACAAGTTGATTGAAAACCTTTTCAAATTCAGATTTCATCACCATTCAGTTAAAGCTGGATATGACTTTAGTGGAGAGGATGCTGTACAATGTTGGGAACAATGCAGCCATAGAGAAGATTATCACCTTTTAAAGTAGAGTGTTATGAAGACACAGATCACGAGTAGGTCAACTCGGTCATGGATCAGGATTATTGTGCATTTTGTCAGAATTCGGTGTGAATTTAGTTAAAGTTACAGCTATTGATCCTGTGAAGGTAGGATCATAATGTCATGGATGCAGGAATTAAAATGATTAATTAGTTTAAAATATAGTAAAGTAAGGAGAGTGTGTGTGTGTGTGTGTGTGTGTGTGGAGATGCTACCTTGACAGTCTTTGACAGCATTTTCAATGGCCTCAGCTGAAAGGATGGAGGTGAGCGACATGTTGGTCCTGTACAGTCAAAGAAAACCTCTGTAAATTATTCACACACACTCTCTTTCTCTCTCTCTCTCTCTCTCGGACGCACATTTTCTTCACTTACTTCTGACATTTTTGTGTCATGCTGGATTAACTTTTTTGCATTTGCAGATGTATCTAGGTTAATATTATGATCCCATCCAAAAATCCAGTCATGATTGTTTTGGTAAATACGCCTGAGTCGTCAGAAAAAAAAGTAGAGAAGCAGTGAAATCACAAACTTATGTATGTACGTACCTGCTGTGTTTTTTAATGTATTCTATTTCATGAATTAAACATCCAATTAAATGCATAAATAATTGTGTTATGATCTCTCCCTGATCAGACTCCCTGGTCAGATTTCCCCTGGCCCCCTTAATGACTGAGGCTATAAGCTTCCCTTGAACTGTTTAATTGGATTGGGTGAGCTGTGCAAGATGATTGGCACTTAGGGACTGTGCAGAAATGATTGGGTTGTGTATACATGTATAAATGAAATAAAAAAGCAACCTACAACAGTGCTAACATTAGGCATATTATTAAACCCCTAGCCCATTAACAAACAGGGAAAATACTGCCACTTCCCAATTTTGAGCCACCAAAGGCATAATAAAAAGTTCAAACATATTTCCCTGCACTACAAACAAACATAGAGCCTCCCTTGAGCAAAAATACAATAAAAATACATCACTTTTCCGACCCCCTAATCATTTTAGTACAGTCCCTTAAAGCCTGAGTTCAGATATTATTGGGTTTTTATGTATTGAGCCTTTAATGTCTAAAAAAATGTTTAGTGAGCTGAAAACAAATCCTGTTATTAACCTAGAACATCTTTTATCAAGTCATTCATCGCTCAATTTGCTCTTTCAGTCTATAGCTGAGAAGGATTTTGTGGTAAAATAATAATAATAATATCCCAGTCAGGTAAAGCACACCTGGCTGACACCTGTATTCTCCCCCATGCAGCTGTGGGACTCACCGCTGTTGGCTCGGGTTCCTCTGCGTCCAGGTCCAAAGCAGCAGCAGATAAGGCTTTGTGGTGCTCTCTCACAGCTGGCTTGGTCTTATATAAGCCGGGGGGGATGCTTGAGTTTCCAACCTGTCCGAGGATCAAATTTTCCCGCAGCCGGCAGCGTCCTTCTCGTGTTCCTCACCTGCTCACCTGGCCAATTAGCCTTTACTGTTTATATCCGCTGCCCTCCCTCCTCCTTTAACTGTCATAACACTCTGGGTTTTTGTCCAATCAACTTTTCCCCTGTGTTACATTGCTCTCCCTCCTCCCTCCTCCCTCTCTCTGTCCCTCTCTTTACAGGTGCATATGGAAGCACAGACATCTCAAATTTAATCAGGCCCCCTTTTTCTCTCTTTGGTTTTAGTGAATAATCTCCCAAATTCAGATGACCGTGGGGAGCAGCAGGCCATAAATCATCTTATGTGTCACCAGGGGATTGTTATTCTTATCAGTAATCTTACATTATATGTCACAAGATCCGTCAGGAAAGGACTCAAAACTATCTGACTGTTTGAGAAGTGTTTTATTTACATATAAACCTGCTAAACGGGTTGAAATAATAAGATGAAGTGAGACTTAAGGAGTGAGTGTAAAAGTGCCATTTGGCAACTGCTTTACTGTAAGAAGACAATGTGGTATCTAGGCTATGTGTATCAAATTGTCCTCTGAAAGGAAGTTGAAAAAACGGTAATACTTAGAATACAATCCTGATTCTGCAGTAAAAAGAGAAGTAAACTAACAAGACAAAAAAAAACAACAACCAGATATTCAATTAAAACAACTACTTCCACCACTGCTACTTCCACTTAGAGACATCTCATAAACTCATTCCTCATTCACTTTATGTGAAACAGTGTGTATCCCGGGTCAGCTCCTCACATTACGATGGTTTTCATCTGGTAAAACACACCTGACCTACTGTAAGGTGAGGGGTCGAGTGGGGACTGCAGGTTTTTTTAAGGGGGGAGGGGGGTTGCACCTGGTCACCATGGCAACCGGCCACTCTAAACTGATGAGTCTGTTTTCTGCAAGAGGGAGGTCTGTCAAACCACCTGACACAGCAGCGTCTCTGGTGAATCCAGTCAGCACTAATGGCATTAGCAGAGGGGGGAGGGATGCTTTTTGTAACGAGAACCAAGGGAATAAATCTCATTATTCTTCAAAGTATCACAAGCAGTGACTTAACACTTTATGAGTGACAGCATTTTTAGTAGTCTCACAGCCGCTTGTGCTACAGAATCAGCTAGTTTACTCTTGTGGAGCTCAGAAAAAAACTGTATGTACTGTACTGCATCCATGCCTCCAAGTTTGCAATGTAAAACTGTAAAACACCTGAAACCCTTGTGACTCAGATGAGAGGCGCCACCTTGCGGCTGCTTCACATCCATGCAGAGCGATCTACTTGGGGGCAAGAGTAATTAAAGCTTTACCACTCACAGGGGTTGTAGGGTTTCAGGTTGCGGGAACGTCCCAGCAAAGGTTCCTCTATTCCTGGGTGAGACATGTGATGGTTCACCAACATCAGAGGGAGATGGGGCGGTCTGGTAGGGGGACTGCTGCCTTCAGCTCAGGGGGAGTGTGAGAATACACTGAGCTGATGGAGGCTGGTGGTCTGGAGCTCCAGTCACTCCTCTGGGGTCTCTGGGTCCTGGATGTCCAGCCATTGTCGACCACCTCCACATTAAAAGGACGTACATATGCAACAGGTCTGATCCTCAGATGATTCAGGCCCATTACATTTCTGCCAATAGATCCTCCTGAATGTTACATACGGGACATTTAAATGCTAATCAGCATATGTCCTAATTCAAAAAAAAAAAAAAAAAAGGTAATATATGTGAAATAGAACCGAATAGAGCTAAATGGAACAAACAAAGATTAGCATTATATAAACATATAGCTAGGTGCCGGTATGAACAGTTTCTGTTTGCCATACACTATTTCCTCATAAACAAACAGCCTTTTTTTTCAACAGTAGGTTTAGGATGGATTCAAAATACTTTTCCGTCATGTACACACCAACCACGGCAATGACACTGACGGTAAGTTAAGCCAATGTGCTCAGTGCACAGTTTGATGTTCTTCTCCATGTTAGCTTTTATTTTACCGCAAATCTCTGCCTGTAATGTAACGTTGTTTCAGTAATTTTACATTCTTATCTAGATAGATAGATAGATAGATAGAAAGATAGAAACACTATCAATCTTCGTGAAGAGGCGACTTCCACAGAACAAAAGCAACCACCCCAGATGGGACTCGAACC